AGCCTCCGTTTGTTTCTTATTTTTTTTCCATAAAAATGAAAAATATAACCATTATCCATCACATCACGCCATCAATTTTGAATTTCTATCTTTTGTGTGGGGCCTAATAACGTTATAATTTTCATACTCATTCTACGATAATGAGAATCAAACGGACCCTAAAACTTGAAGAAAGGTAATTTTCTATATAAAAACCTGTGAGGTTCTCCAAATTGATCAAAAATTGGTTTAATGAAATAGTCCGAGAATTACGAATTTTTTTTTCTCGCGATCAAGGAAAGCAAAGTATAAACAGATAAATGGAGATTAAATTGGAGACTGAAACATAAATAAGCAGTATTCATCCCTACACTTGAGTTGTTAGGGAAGAAAATTTTCCNGAGTTGTTAGGGAAGAAAATTTTCCGGCCATACCTTATTGGCACACCATTTTAGGTGTGGAGCTCCTCCTAGCTACAATGGCTTTGTTTTTTACAAGTCAATGCAAAGATCCCAAAAAATTTGAAGGCAGTTAGGACCTGATCTCTTTGCTGTTTTCAAGCTACTTTCAGTTTTCAATTTTTCGAAAACACTGAAAACATGTTTACTTACCTATTTTTAGAAATGAATTTCCAAAAACGAGTTTAAAATTTACAAAGAAAACGAAAAACGCAAAAAATGTCGTTTTAAATGTTTCAATTAAAATCAAAACAAAACTTCATTTTTTTTTTATTTTTGAAAACAATTTTTCAAAATGACAAAAAGAATGCGTTTTCAGCAATCTTAAAATGGACACTCAAAACACAAAACCCAAAATAAATTCAAAACTCAAAACAAAAATGTGTTTTGAGTGTCCATTTTGAGATTGCTGAAAACGTGTTCTTTTTGTCATTTTGTAAAAATATTTCTCAAAACATTTTCCCAAAAGTTGGTTACATTATTTTCCATTCTCACAAACCGACCACCACCCACCATAAAATGAAGCCAAACTCCGGCGAGCTCCGGCTACCAAATTCGTTGGACATTACCACCGGTCGATAGCCCTCACTTCAAGCTTCACATACCATCAAACTAAACCCAATTCCAATAACTACAGAGG